CACTTGTCTTAGGACTAATAAATTAATTATGTGCTTATTATCTAATATTTGGAGAATATGTATTGAACATTATGAGATTAAATATTTAGCTAAAGTCAAAGGATTTGATGATATATCGAGTAGGATGAGAATAATTACATATGTGAATACTTTATCGAGGAACTAGAGATCTCATTAACTAGATTCAAGGAGAATAACAAGTATAGAGTAGTTTTATTATATGCACAATTTATATTTGAGTTATAATACTCATATATTCATCCTTATAGTGTAGCGTATGAATTCCATAATAAAAGGAATGCTAAATTTATTTATTAAAAAAATTAATGTAGTTTATAATTCTTTTTGAATGTGATTTTAGAATTATAAGAGCATCATTGATAAACATATATAAATGAGTAAGGAAGTGTGGCCATTTCCTATGAAAATATGGCCAATTCTCTAGAATACTTGTAAAAGGTGGGATTAAGCACAAGGTCATAATGTGCTGGTTTTAAAATTTATCGTAGAATACTTGAATATATTATGCATGATACCATATTTGTTTCGAGTAAAAGTGTCAGCTGAAGATCATATTCATCGTTGACTTTTGAGTAATATTGTTGAGACATTGAGTAAAAGTTAAAGTAATTGATATCTTTATTATGAATTAAATTTGTTGTCTTATTCGAAAATATGACTAATATTTTATTAAAAAATAAATAGGGAATTGTTGCAATTTTTTTTAATAAAATATTTATTAAAAAAGATAAAAAAGGAAATGCATTTCAAAACATTACTATTGTATTGTTTTGAAATTGTTGAAATTTTTTTTTAAATTCAATTAAAGGGCTTTGACATTGATTTGACATTCAATTGCCAAGGTTTTTTTACCGTTCAAAATCTTTACTTTTACCAATTAATTCAGCTGTCCAACAAATCATTCCTACCACTGTATATATGAGACTTATTTTAGATAACAAACGTAATAAGAATCATTTTGCATTCTTTACAAAAGAAAAAACAAATATCCTCTTGTCTTTTATCTTATTTATTCTTCCATATGAAAAAGCCATATTATTTGCCTTTCTTTGTGTTTATAGATTTGGATAAAAATGTTACTAATTAATTTTATAGAGTTTTAAATCTTATAAATAATGCAAACTTATTAAAATAAGACAACATAACTGAATTTGTTGTATTTTTGAGACGATATGCAATATACACTTCGGATAAATTTAACGGACAACATGTATCATCTTAAAAAACAATCTATGCCTCGGCACGATTATTTAAAAATTTTGATAAAATTATTTTAATGATTCGGTTATTTTTATACCATGAAATATGATAATGCGATTTTAATTTCTAATTTTCTTAATGATTGAGAAAAAAAGTTCCAATTTTTTATTTATCTTAATTTACAATAAATTTATTTATTTATTATGTGAATTTTTATTATTAATTTAATAATGTTTTTTTTTTAATGTTTTAAGAACAATAAAAACATATATATATATGCATATACCCAAAGAGTATGTATAACAGTGATTAAATCTCTGCATGAAAAAATTTAACTTATAATGTTAAAGAGTGATAAAATCTTCTATATTTTTAATTATATCGTCGTCACATTCCATCTATGTAGGATGTAAGCTGTCTTTTTATTTTTAGTCAACTCTTTCCAAGTGCTGCTTATACTGTACATGAAAGGCTGATAATTTGTGCTACAAGTTGGAAAGAAGGAATACTGCCTTCATAAATGATATTTTTCTAATTGTGGAGGGAGGATTACAAAACAAATGTTCAAACTATTTTTGCAGGCAGCATATATTTCATAAGAAGGCATTCATGTAACAACCGGTGACGAAATGACATAGAATGAGAGGTAAATATAAAGTGTCTATGTAGACAATCAAAAGCAGATTTTTTTTTTTTTTCACTATGTAATTATTATATCAAATATATGTTATTGGTTAAGGGTCCAGCACCATCATTTTTTTTTTAATAACGCATGTGTCCGGATCGACTTACGTGCATTTCGACTAATCTCGCGAGTCCTAAAGTTAACGACCATGTAAGCCTCCAATGGCCACTAAAGAAAACAATCAGCACTCGAATCCGAGACCACAGGAGGAACAAACCCCTTCGTACCAAGTCCTTGTCACTGCGCTACCTCCCGGTGGTTAACCATCATTGATATTACATATGTTTACCTAAATGACGTTTTTTTTTTTTTTCGAAAGAATGCTAGCTATTGGCAATCATTTTATTTGTTGTGTGACAAATTTGAGAGTGCAACATCATTAAATGGATTCTGTTTCGTGAGAATTTCAAGTTGCAAGATTGCATAAAATAATATTGGCATGTGGTGATTTTTAATAAAAAAAATCTGTATCAACTTATTTTAATGACTTTAAGGTCAAGGTATTTTGAGCATAAAAAGAAAACTTATCATGTATAAATCATGTGTCATAATTCTATTAATTTGAATAAAGGAAATCTAACATAAGGATAGATTGGAAATATAGGAACCTTTTTAGTTACATATTGGAATCAATTAAATGTTTTGAGATATATTAGACACAATTTCTAAAATAAAAGGACAAATGAAATTATTTTCTCTAAAAATTATAAAGATATCTTGCTAACATCGAAAAAACAGAGCAACGTTCTAAATTATGTATAGAGTTCTATATAACATCGATGCAATTGTTCTAAATTACGTATGGTGTTATATTCAACATTCAAATCATCATTCTAATTTTTGGATAAACCCCCATAGCACAGGGCATAATGATTAGTTTTTGAAGAATATATAAACCATGTTTATCTTGTAAAAAGATAAAGATATTAAACAGTGGGACCCATATATTAGGCCACATCATCATTTATTATCCATGTCATACATGCCATCTCATTACTAGAATAACACATCAACAAAGTTTTCAAGTCATACCTGTAACTTATTCATATTTTACTTGATTATTAAAATTTTAAGAGTGCACATATCCATTTTTTTAAAAAATAATAAATGTCGACACGCTCGTTTGCAAAAATTTACATACTACACAACGCTTATTTTATTATTAACTAATAAAAGAAGAAGAAGAAATCATCACATCATCGCGTTAATAGCCAACCATCAGTATTACAAAATCCAGACCGGACCCACCGGTCTAAGTGAAAACCGGGTAACCTGACCACCTAACCGGTCTAATCGGAACCCGTCAGAAACATGGCTAAAACCAGTAAAAATAGGGCGGTTGGTTAATGGTCAATAGGACTTGAACTCGATACCTCCATCTTTAAGAATTTATGCACTTACTACTTAACGATTTTTTATATCAGGTCATGTGTTACAAAACATATTTATATTAGAATCTTGTAGCATGATCGGATCGCTGTCAATTCGGATTTAATAACATTGCCAATAATAAAAAATGTAGGGATGGTTTTGTTAATTACAATCTTTGAAGAGTTCAAATTTTATATATACAGCTATTTATAAATAAAAAGAAATAAAATTATATGAATCTTACCACATACAGAAATTAATCCACATTCAAATCGCAACAGATAGTATACGAAGAACTATAATATAAATATGTTAGGTTGAAAGTTATTACCTTAGGTATATATAGATTGCAAAATCTATAGCAACTACTATAATAATAATCACGGGTAGGAATTATAGATAGCCCAACTTTAAAATCATGGCAGAAATCCAAACAGATTTGAAGAAAAATATAAACGGGAAGGAAAATATATATAAAAAAAAATGTTAATGCTTTCTTACATTCTTGTACTTGTCCTTTTGTATTTAAAAAATCTCTTTATTATTTTTATTTTATTTTAATATCATCTCAGTATATTACAATTTCGTCATTATTACGATCTTTATCAGTTGGTTTTACTAATGCCATTAAAATATGACACGTGGCAACATGGAATGTCTAACAAATATACATTCTGGACCTTGAACTTTTTTGAAAACTTACTTCAGTCTTTATTTTATTTTCTTACAAATAAGTCCTTAATTGAAAGTTTCTTATTCATCATATTTTACAGTAAATAATATTTAGTTCCTAAATATATTAATTTTCAATTAAGTCCCTGCATGTCAAATTGTTAAACATTATCAAAATTCTCAATATATAATATTATAGAAAAAAGAAATTTAACAAAATCACAATAATTTAAAATAATCATATTTGTCTAATTATCCAATCAAATAAAAATTATCAAGAAGTGTAGGAACTGAGCTATGATATCGAAATAAACTTTATTTTCTAACCTTTTGGACATATGACAATGTGTTGTGATTTTGTTGTATGATGGTGGATTGATTAATTTGTATATGGTGTAAAAGAGTTAAATGGACATATTTGATTTTATAAAGATTTTTTTTAACATTATTAGTTTTGTAAGTATTGCATTATTATTTGGGTATTAAAAAATTATAAATATAAAAAATATGAAAAAAATTTAAAATCAAAGTGTGTGTGTGTATATATATATAAATATATATATATAAAAGAAAGATGATATGAGAATTTTTCACAAAATTTGCTATTTCACTTTAGCAATTTAATTGAAAAAATTTATTAAAAACTAAATTTTATTTAACATAAAGTAAGATGACCAAAATACTTTCAAATAAGGGCTTATTTTTAAGAAAAATAAAATAAAGGGACCAAAATAAAATTTTCAAAACTTTTATGGACAATAATATACGTCAAAGAAAAATTTCATGTTGTTCCGCGTTAAATTTTAACGGCGCTAGTAATACAAAACTATGGAAGGGCATAATGATGACAAAAATATAGCGTAAATGAATGATATTAAGAGAAAATGAATAATAAAAGTATCTTCTAAATACAATAAAAAAAAGTACAGGGATGTGGAAAAGAATTATGCCAAAGAAAAATACGGGAAAAATAAGAACACCAGCACCCAACTGGTTCCCTTGGTCCATTCCAACACACACAAACAGCATGGGCTCACACTTGTTTCCTTTCTCATTCATGCCCCTTCTTTCCCTCATTGTCTGAATCCCACCGGCCGCCACCACTGTCACCGTTGGCAGTTGCCGGAGTTGCTTCATTGCTAGATTTTGGGGACCGCCCTCTACGTTTCTTTGGCCCATAATATACCTTCTTATCCTTTATAACCAATATCTCTTGACCTCCTCCCAAGTTCGAGCAATCTTGTTTCCTTCTTGCCTTTGTTTGTTTCTCCTTCTCCTTTGCCTCCATTTTCTCTTTATTTGGCGGTCTCCCTCTACGCTTCTTCACTTCAACTACCGCTCTAATTACTTGTGGTTCATCTGCTTGTGCTAGCAATGGTATACTAGTTGTTATTGCTGGCTTAACAGAGAGGTTTCCTTCACCAATATTTGAGTATTGCATTGTTAACGGCATCTTCACTTCCTTTCTCCCCTGTTGTTGGTTCTTGAGGTAATGGCTTGATGGTGGGAACATGTAGCACCCATTAGGGGTGATGGTGATCTCTCCTTTGGTAGCTAGCAGGGCAAGGTGGTGAGATAGAAAACTCTCGTGAGCCCATGGAAGGTCATGATACTGTGATTTTAAATATAAAGATATAGAAGCTTGACTTGACCCTTTTCCCTCCTTTAATGCATGATCAATAGCTCTGTGTATCATCTATAACAATTTTCTTTTGTATATGTCAACCAACAAAACATATGATTTGAAATTAAACTGGAATTAGTTTGACTTAATTACCTCCGAGTAAGGTGCGTGTTCTGGGGTATAATAATGGATTCCGGCTAACATTTCATCAATATGCATAGCTGTCTGCGCTGACACTGGTTGTGGGAGGATGAATGTTGAAAGCTCCTCAAGAATGACGCCTGATCTGTGCCTTTTATTTGATTCATACTGGTTATAGTTTTCTAATGCAGTGGTGTTGGTGAAGTTGGTATCAATCTTCCCATGAGAAACCATGACTCTACAAGAATAATCTAGCTCCTTCCACGTACAGCATCCCTCTCCTGCTGCTGGGACATCAATTAGCATTCTGCTCATAATTGATTGTGTGATTCTATTGATGTAACTATGAAAACAAGTGATTACATACATTTTTAGTACCTAAGGAGGTTAAATAAGAAAAAAACATGGCCAACTTACTATCCTAGCTAGAAGATTAATTGCATGAAGGCTGGATGAGAATAAATCATGATTTTTTGTTTTCTTTTTCAGTCTGGAGTATGACTGGGATCCACTTAAAAGGAGCTTAAAAAAAAAATCAAACTTAAGTCAAAATATTTTTATCATTTTTTATGGATCTAGATAAAATATTATCTTTTTTTTATATCTGTCTTTCTTCTCAAAGTAAAGTTATAAAGTAAGTATTGTTAATTATTCTATGACTATTCTTTTTTTGTTTTTTGTCAAAAAGTCTTGGATTTTGGACTGCAAAATGAAGAATAGTTGTTTTCCATTACATTAAGAAAAAAACTAAAAGAATTGAGATGTTTGAACAAGTAATCCCTATTCATTTATTGTAGCTCTAGACTCATATCCACTCGTAGATGAAATACTAGTTTTTTTTTCGTGACCTTTTAGATTTTGTTAGGTGATAATATAGAAATTATACAACCTTTTACACTTTGGTCTCTCATATTTTTGAACGAATATTTCGATCCACATCTTCGTTTACTAATACATTTTGGTCCTTAGGTGTAGAGAAGAGGGAGGAAATAAAAGAGAGACAGCGTCGGCTAAGCTTATTTAGGTCACTTTGGTCGACAAAACTCCATTAGATTTTTTGATATTTGAGAGATAATTTGTCCATAATGGTTTCAAGCTATTAAATAATTAGAGGAGGTAGATTGCAGCAAAAATAAATAAATAAATAAATCCAATTTGATTATGCATTTTTGTTTTTGTTTTAATGTGCATCAAAATGATTTTTAAGGTTTTAAATGTATTTATTGACTTTATTTCGATCACTTAAAGGTATTTGAGAAAAAATAATGTTGAAATTAAGTTTCTTAGGGTTTGAAACTTGATTCGTGATTTTCCAACGAAGCTTCCAACAAGCTTGAGTTCGTTGGCAATTGTAGATTTTTCATTTTTTTCTCTAGCCGGTAGCCTAAGCCTAGAGAAGCGGGACCAAGTTGCCCTAGCGTGCGGGCCCGAGTAGCCCTAGCCTAGTGCTCGGGCTTAAGTTCACCGGCTCGGCTCGGCCGCACGAGCTCGACCAACCAAGCCCGATTGGGTAGAGCCGGCCTCGCGCGCGTGCCTATACGAGCAACGAAAGTGCACAAGCTCTGGCCTTTTGTTTTTTTCAATAGTTTATTTTTATATTTTTTTTATCATGGAATTAGGTGTAAAAATATAGAAAATATATTGCTATTTTTTTAGATTTAAGCACAATTTGACGATGATAGAATATATATGATATATTTTTTATATTTTTGTTTGAACATATATATCTTATTATATTACTCTAATTGTTTAAAATTTATTTCTTCAATTATTTTTTCTTATTAAAATTCTCATCAAATTAATTTTTTAATTTTTGATTTAATTTTATTTGTTAATAAATTTGATTTTTTTATATATGGGTTTTGGAATAAAATTTTAGAATGTGAGTGTTTTATTTTTCAAAATATATTATCATAGTTTACATGGTATATATATATATATATATAATTTATTGGAACCGATTTTGTAGTAGTTTTGAGAGTGAAAGAGAGAGAGCGCTAAAAGTGCATTTTAAATAATTTGACTCAATTTTTTTTAAAAAAATTAATAATGAGTTAAAAAAGAATTTGCAGAGTTATATATATATTGGAATCGATTTTGTAGTAGTTTTGAGAGAGAAAGAGAGAGAGCGCTAAAAGTATGTTTTAAATAATTTGAATCATTTTTTTTTAAAAAAAAATTAATAATCGATTAAAAAGAATTCGCAAGTTTTATATATGTGTGTGTTTTAAATAATTTGACTCAATTTTTTTAAAAAATTAATAATCGATTAAAAAAAGAATTCACAAGTTTATTTGCTCTTTATATATATATATATATATATATATATATATATATATATATATATATATATATATATATTGTTATAAATTAACTATTTATACGCACGCATAATATATATATATATATATATATATATATATATATATATATATATATATATATATATATATATATATATATATATATATATATATATATATTGTTATAAATTAACTATTTATACGCACGCATAATATCAATTATTTATTTTTATTTTTTTCATATTCTAAAATATGTATTTTTAAAGAAAATAATTTAAATAATGTTTTGAATGAACTTTCTAATTATTGAAATACAAATTTTTATGCTAATATTGTTAATAAATATTATTAATCACCGAAACAAGACTTCTACTTGCACCACGCTATATGAATCGTTAACTCTACATATGTAACGAGTCGTCTAACCGCGATGTAGCGTGGGTATCTAACTAGTAATAACTCGAATAAACTAAAGTCACTAGAACTCGATCATCTTTTGCTAAAAAAAAAATTATATGTCCGCCTTTACTTCATGAATACTTTAAAAATTTTCTTTATAATATAATATCGACAATAATTTCTTAGTTCCCTAGAGGTAGTAACTTTCCTATTTTAGTTAGACACTTATTTAAATGTTTCTCTCCCTCTATTTGGTAAATATCTATATATTTATTGATATACCTTTAGTACGTAGTAAACTCTTCATTTAACTTTGCTTCAAATGGTAATGAGTTTGTTTTGTTTTGTTTTTTTTTCTTTTTCCTCTAACTTTTTGTTACCATCATGAGCCTAATTAATATTATAGCTATTTGACATTTAGGATACTTCCAAAAAATAAAAATAAAAATATGTTTGGATTTATTATTTTTTAGGACAAGAGTTAGCGAGATGTTTTAGAGTCGTCACCTAGTATTAAAGGAAACTAAAAAACCTAAAAAAGAGCATTGGATTTAGAGATTGCAAATAAGGAGTTGGTTATGCTTTCGGAAAGATATCAATCACATATTTCCTAAGAAATGTACCATGCCTAGTTTAATTCTAAAATGTATCTCCTAAGAATTTACTTTGCCAATTTATTTCCTAAGCTTATTTCCAAGTTTGTCTACCATGTAAGTCAAATTATTTTAATTCAATTTTTATTGTTGCATCATATTAAATTGGCATCAAACTCCAAAATCGAGAGTCTCATCAATTTAATATTGGATCCAATTAAGTCTTGATGTAATTGGTATGTCGAAGAACCATATAATTACTAAGGGTGTTTGACTTGTATTTTTCTTAATTGGTGTTGAGACTAACTTTCATTCCTATTAAATAAAAGACTCGCTAAATCGACTTAAAATTTCTTTTTTTATTTAATTGTGCTAAAATGGTATATTTTAGCATGATGAGTTTGGTGAAGGATCGTTATCGGTATCTAGAATCCGAAAGATTTGATGATCCACCATCACATTAATTACACAATAACTATATTATAATGAAATAAATTACAAGCAAACAACAAATAAATTCTAAAAATTGCAAAAATTGAAACACAAAACATTGATAAAAACATATATACGGAATCTAAGAATTTCAAAATTGAAATTAAATCAAACCAAAGTTCAAATAATTCAATTTCCTAAACAAATAACAAACAATTAAAATTAGGTAGAATATTAAATAAATAGTAAATGAACTTTAAAAATTATGAAATTTTAAGAACAAGCTAAGGATGACCCTACGTAGCAAACATAAAAATTTCAAGTCAAAATAAGCAAAAAAGTCTTGTTAAAATAAATCCTAAAATTAGAAAGAAAAAAATAATTATTTAAGGCCCCTTTTACGCCTTTGGCAAAATCAAAGCTTGGCCCTAAACTAAGAGGCTCAATGTTGTGTAACCTAAGACCCGGACTTAAGGCTTAGAGCCTATACTAACGAGCTTGTAGGCTTTTTTGTTTTATTATTTTCGTTGGCCTAGATCAAAGACGCAACCTATGGCCCTTCTCTTTTTTATTTCTCGGCCTAAAATCAATAGCCCGACCAAACTTATGTTTTGGCCTTAGGCCATCTTACACCTTACCACATCTAGTCCATAGGTCGACCCTAAGCCGCAGCGCAACTTAAACCTATTAGCCTAGCCTCATCCGATTTTTCTTTCTTTCCTCTAACCTAACTTCCTTTCTTCTTTTCTTCTTTTTCCTTCACCCTAGGTCTCTTCTTCTTATCTTCTTCCTTTATAACTTAACAATACGTATATTGAAGTATTATGCATTATATGGAAGTACGTAATAAAACAAAACAAATTTTCTCTATCTAAGACTTCTAAGATCAAGTTGTTGAATTAACTAATCATACATGCATGGATTAAAAATTTGAGTAAAAGATTATCTCTTGTAGAATGGATTTAGCCTTTGTAGAAAAAGAGTCGTTCAAGTGTCCGACCTCTATCGATAATTCAAACAGACTTAAACATCCATAAAGTTAGCCACGAAATCACGAGTGCTAGTCTGCAATTCTACTATTTAGTTGATTTTTTTTTTCAAAAAAAAATCGATTTTAGAAGGGATAACAATTAGATTTTTTTACGATAACTCAAGCTTTTAAGAAGGGATACGATAACTCCGAGCTTTTGAGAGAGAAACACTTATCTCTTTTTCTTTCTCTTTTTGTCGTGTGTTTGTTTGATAATTGTTATCATCCAAAATTTTTCCCTTGTTACTTTTACTTTAATTTTTATTTTTGTTGCAAAATACCAAAAAAGAAAAGAAAAAGAAAAAATCAATTGGTATAATTATTTTAGGTTAAAAAAAAGAAAAAAGAGGGAGGGGGATTAATTGAAGAAATGGAAAGTTTGGAGGTAATAAAAAGAGATAATTGAGAGTCTAATAAAAAAAATCAAAGCTTTAATTCTTTTTTCTTAAGTTAAAGAGGGGCATGATTAGAAAAAATTAAAAAAGAAATGTCCCCATTAATTTAAATTTAGGGGGGCATTGAAAAAAAAATAAGATTGAACTCAAATTGATAGATGGA